TCTGATATACCTCACACCCCCTCAGTGTAACACTGTCTGACATACCCCACACCCCTCACTGTTACACTCTCTGATCAGTCCCAGTAATATAATCCTACACTTTCAAACAATCAGGTGCAGTAGTGCAGTTTGCTTTCTCTTCCCTTGTCTCTGTGATGTGACCAACGTTTATCTCCTACCCTGGGTTTGGCTGTGGTCACCAAACCTGGAGCTCCCAAGTCCCTGAACTGCAGTCTACAGTGAAGTCCCTCACCTGCTGCTAACATGCACTCTCTAGCCCTGAGACCTGGATCTCTTACCGATACAGTGCGTCCGCGATGGACCCATCACAAAGCCAGGCTTGCACGCACATCGGAAACTCCCCTGTGTGTTCAGACACTCTGCATTTTGGCACACTCCCTGGATCAAACACTCATTGATATCTGGTAGAGAGATGGAGAGACAGGCTTAGAAACAGAACGAGGAACTGAACTGGAGGGGACCAGAGAACAGAGCGAGAGAGGTGGTTAGCACTGCTGCCTCACAGCCTTAGGGCCCTGGGTTCAATTCCAGCTTCTGGTGACTGTCTGTGTCTAGGTGGGTTTCCTCTGGTTTCCTCCCACAGTCCAAAGATGTGCAGGTTAGGGTGGATTGGCCATGCTAAATTGCCCCATAGTGGCCAGGGATGTGCAGGTTAGGGTGGATTGACCGTGCTAAATTGTCCCATAGTGCCCAGGGATGTGCAGGTTAGGGTGGATTGGCCGTGCTAAATTGTCCCATAGTGCCCAGGAATGTGCAGGCTGGGTGGGTTAGCTGTGAGAAATACAGGGATAGAGTAGGGGAATGAGTCTGGGCAGGATACTCTTTGGAGAGTTGGTGTGACTCGATGAGCCGAATGGCCTGCTGCTACACTGGAGGGATTCCATGACTCTATACTGTTGGTTGTGACATTTTAAAATAATTTTTCACAGGATGTGGGTATCACCAGCCAGGCTAGAATTCATCGCCCATCGCTATTGGCCCAGAGGGAATTTAAAAGTCAACCCCTTTGCTGGGGGTCTGGAGCCACATGTAATCTAGAGCAGGGTCATATGTGAACAGGATGGATTTTTAATGGCTATCGACAATAATTTCATGGCCACCCCTCCCATAACTACTGGGAGAGCTCCAGCAGTGGGAGAAGCACACCCCGGCCTCATCCCATGACCAACCCTCCCTCTCATCCCCGCCACCTTGACCTGTCTGTCTTCTCTCCCACCTATCCGCTGCTCCCACCTCACTGACCAATCCCCCACCACTCCCTACCTGCACTCACCTATCACCATCTCACCTACCTTCCCCAGCCCCACCCCTCCTCTCTCTATTCATTTTGGAGCTCCCTTCCCACACCCCACAACCCCACGCGCCCCCTGAAAAATTTCTGAAGAAGGGTCCCGACCTGAAACATCAACTTTCCTGCTCCTCTGATGCTGCCTGGCCAGCTGTGTTATCCTATACTCGACGCACTGCCCAATAAAGCCAAGCGTACCAAACGCCTTCTTCACTATCCTGTCTACCTGTGACTCCACTTTCAAAGAACTACGAACCTGCACCCCAGGGTCTCTTTGTTCAGCAACACTCCCCAGGACCTTACCATTATGTGTATAAGTCCTTTCCAACATGCAGCACCTCACATTTATCTGAATTAAACTCCATCACCTTTAGTCCTGGGAACTAGATCCACGTTCTTTCTTGGATTTCAATGTTTTGGTCTCAAACAGTTTCCAGCGGGAGAAAGATTTCAGATGGCTAATGTTTCG